TTTTTCGAGTTTATCATTTAATTCATCTTTTTTCGAGTTTATCATTTAATTCATCTTTTTTCGAGTTTATCATTTAATTCATCTTTTTTCGAGTTTATCATTTAAAATGTTATTTAAATCTTAATTGCATTGGATAAGTCATATCATTAAGGTGTTACTTATTGAAAATTTTTTTTTTCTTTCATCCAATTTAAATTCATAGATGATTGCCATCTCAATATATGGTCTCCATTTGATAAACCTGAAGCTCCCCTTATCCATTCAATCCCATCCGGCCATAGTGCAAACATCTTTTCTGCTCGTTTCATGTCTCATACAGATGATCGTCATATAGTTTCTTGTTCTGCTGATGGAATAGTCTTGTTCACTGATTTAAGTGATTATTTGGCTAAATCTCCTTCTCACAGTTGGCATCCTTTACCTTCTTTTCGTTGTCATGATGGAATGGCGTAAGTATCATTATCGTATTTTCCATTTAAAATTATTTATATATTGCATTCTTTATTTGTGCGTTGACATTATGGCATTGTTATCAGAACCAACTGCAATACATCTTGAATTCAACTTGACATAGATTCGAAGTCATGCCTGATCCCGTTGATCCACATATATTTTTCTCTTGTGCCGACGACGGTCTCGTCAACAGATACGATCTCCGCATCTCTACTTCGTGCTTTTGCAACCATTGCACACGTCATTTATTTCTTGATTTGAACCCCGTGCGCCACCAATCTCGCAAATCTCAAAATAATTTTCAAGGTAGAAAGGATACTCATCAATCTACTGATTCTGATGATCCTCGTTCTCATAGCGAACCTGAATCTGAACAATTTTCTGAACGAAGACGTCGTACTTTTGCTATCCGTTCTGCAAAAGATATGAGCGTTACCGCTATTTCAATTAGACCTGATAATCCTATTTATTTTGCCGCTGCTTGTGGTGATGATACTGTTCGTATATATGATCAACGTTTTGTTAGAACCCCTTCTGGTTCAGATACTCCTTATCATAGGGAAGGTCAAGTTTATCAATTTATTCCTACTGAAATGCGTCAAAAACAACAGGAAGATCAATATCATCGTCATAGAATGACTAGTATGAAATTTGATCCAAATGGTGGTGGTGATTTATGTATCAGTTATAGTGGTGAAAAAGTATATTTGATTAGGCCTGATAGCAGTTTCAATGACAAAAAGGGCAAGTCTCGAAATGGCGGTTTTAGAATATCAAGAAAGCAAAAAAGAAATAAAGTTGATTTTGACCTTGTTGATAATAAACCTAAAGATGTTGATAATAAGCTTAAAGATGTTGTTAATGATAATAATGGTATTGATTTAAAAAACGTTGAAATGGATGTTGATAATTCTATACCTGAACCTAGTGATAATGATAGAAGTGACTCTACTCGATCATCATATGATGCTTCGTCAATACCTGAAATTGATTCATACCATGAAGACCATTCCAGCACGTCGCGACATGTACGCCTGCAAGATATCGATGATGATGATGCTAACGATGATAACATCTATGATTCTGATGATAATTCTGACTATGATTTTGATGATAGTGATTGTGATGAAGCTCACGATGAGGATATTGTTAGAGCTTATAGTGGGCATCTTAATTCCAAGACTATGGTCTGTGTCATCATTAATTATTTATTATTATCATTATTGTTATCATTATTATTATCGTTATTATTGTCCTTCATTAGTAATTTTTATAGTTATTTTCAATTGTTTGTCTATAGATAAAAGAGGCCTATTTCTTTGGCGCCAATTCTGAATATATTATGTCTGGCTCAGATGACGGTCGAATATTTATATGGGATCGATATACTGGCAAAGTGGTTAATTTGTTGAAGGGTGATACGGTAATTCAATTCACTTTATAATTCTTTTTTTTTTTGTTCTATTTTATTAAATTTGATTTCCTAATTAAATTTTTAATTTATAGAAAGTCGTTAATTGTGTTCAACCTCATCCTTTCTTTCCCATATTATGCACTTCTGGGATTGATGATGACGTAAAGATTTGGTTCCCTGAGTGTGATGAAAATGATATTTCTGATGCTGCTGACATTATACAACGAAATGAGTTAGAAGCGAGTAGTGAAAGTGGTAGTCTTGGCAGTTGGGGTGGTCGAGTTTTGGTTATACCTGCCAGCCAGGTTATGGTTATGCAATTATTAGGTAAGATTTTCTCTTTATATATCATAATTTATATCGATTCAGTTAATTTATATTCGTTTCTTATTAATTTAAAAGCGATGCTTAACGACTCCGAAGGGATGTTTGATTTGGAATGATTCAAGTTATTTTATCAATTAGTTTAAATAATTGCTAACGCTGGCTTGATTTATCTTTATACTCTGAGTTGGTGTTACCTTTATACGCTGAATTGGCGTTGAATATTCAATTTATTTGCGCGTTTTTATTACCTCATGTATTTTTTGGTCAAGATTCTTAGTATGCTTCCTCATAAATATTTTCGTTTTCGAATTCAGCTCTTGTGCAACATATTTAATATGTACTAAACTTGTAAAATTTTTTTGCCATAATTTCTATTTAAATCCACATATTTTCTGTTGATACGTTTAAGTATGTATTATTGACTAACTCAAACAGTAATGACGGAATGAATAATAATATTAAGTCGAACATGGCCTTAAAGCTTATGTGCCTTTACATTGATATACAGAGCCAATAACATTGTCACCTAAAAGTGTCTTTATTGGTGTTTTGGATTTTATTATACCAACAAATTGCAACCCGTAGTAAAATCACTATAATCTGATATATTTATCGATTGATGAACATGCCCCTGGCAATCACAGAACCCCTATTGTATAACTGATAACCATCTTTTCGAATTGGAATTTTTTTTTGATGAAAATCATAAAGGCACACCTCTGTGAGCAATGTTGAATATTTTAATTATCCCGAGCTTCTCAGTTCCGTCAGGACGGGATTACTGCAGATCAGTATTGTTTGGGGTACAGGTCGAAATTAAACATCATACAATACTGATCAGCTATAATTCCTAACCCTAACGCTAATATATATAACATCAGATCAGTATGTTACGGATTTTAAAATTCAACCTGTACTATTGTTATTAAGTAGATTTTATTAA